AAGGCGCTCGCAGCGGATACGGCGCCAGAGCCGAAGGAAACAAGCCCGAAGCGGCCCCGTGTAGAAGCAAGAGTTGATGGAACGAGGGCGGGAAGGCAAGAGCCATCAATGACGGCACGCGACACTTCTCGTCATCTTACCACCACCACCACGCCCGCGCTCCCGTCGACTCCTCGGTCGTACGCACTCCCCGTAGCCTCCTCATCTCGTTCCCATCCTGCAACCCTTCCCAACCACTACGCCCATATTTTAACACCTGGCACGCCTACGCCTACTGCCCCTCCACCCTACGGCTATTATCCCTACCAGTACATTGGGCACCACCCTCATACCCCCGCGGCTTTTTCCTCGCAACCCCTGCAGCATCAAGCCCCTCAGAGCTCCTACTACCGTCCGCAAACCTTACACTATCCTGCGAGCCCATTTTCATCTCCAGCACCTGCGACGCCTATGCGACGCCAGTCTCACTTCCCACACCCTCCTCCTCAAGGTGCTTCACCCTCAGGATCATTCCTGGGCCCAGCTCAGCATCCGGGACTGCCTGGACAAGAACAATTTGGGCGCAATTGCTGAATGCGGGACTTGTTGGCGGCCACGAGGACTTTTCGGGGGAATTCTCTGTGGATGGACCACACTTGTATCATACAAACTACTATACTTCATGATTTTTGTACTCTGAGGCCCTCAATACTGAATACGCGGTTTTCCTCCAGAGAGAATCATCGAAATTTCGCTAAGTCCCGCTGTTACAAATCACTATCCGCTTAGCCGGGCTCGATCTCCCCAGTCCCTCCGGTAACGCTCGTCGCCATCACACCAAATATTTATTCTGACCAAATAATATCACTACAAACACTTGGCGGCGAGCGTACCGGAGGGACTGGTAGCGAGTCTAGGAGAAGGTGGGAATGAAGTTGGAATGATGGGTGATATCGATCAATTGGTTGTGATTCGAAGCGCGGCCTTCGAACCAGACTCTAGATTCGGCAGCACACTATCTCACTAGTCTCTTCTACAGACCCTCGACGCTCCGCAAGCTCCGCAATCTCGCATAGAGTCGAAATTCCCAGTTTTTAAACTTGTAACCAACCCCGGGTGTTGAATATAAAATATGGCGAGGAGGAGGATGGAGGAACAGCAGTATCAGTTGGAGATGCAGCAGCAGTAAAGGATGGAGATACCGCCACTTCCGAATGCGGGGTAGGAGGGTGGATATGGCGCACAAGGAGAGGGCGATGAAGCTAGTGGTCGCGGAGTGGATTCGGAGGCGGAAGACCATGATGTTGGATACGAAACACCCAAAGAGGACTGAGGCCTGAGCAGTGAGGCCTAGTCTAGAGGGATGGTCTTGGCGATATTTTTGTCCCAGCAGAATCCGCGAATTTATTGGCACGTTTTGTTTTCACTTGAGACTTGTCATTCGACAATGGACTGGTTAGCCACGGCCCACCATATCACATAATTCACATTTCATACAATTCTGAACACCAATAGCCAACTGAAAAATAATCAAGCCTCCTAACTTGAATCGGACTCTGAATCAAGGATATCCATTTCACTGGGACCTGCGAGGCGGGTGTAGCATTCTTCAACAGCCTTCTTCTGCTTTTCCCATGAGCGGATGAGTTGGGGCGGTGGAGATGGTGCTCTCTACAGCCAAAAATGACAACAGGCTCCACAATAGAATTCATGGCTTACCCGAATCCACTGCAAAATCAAGGCGAGCCATCTGGGCTGTACAACGCCGTGCCGGTGACAACGCAAGTGATACTCGACGTCCAGTTCCACACGTGAGCAAAGTTGCGCAAGGTTGAGATCCTTGAGGGCCTCTAATACCTCGGCATTTGGATTGCAGCGACACAATAGTGAGATCCATTCCCTAGGGCCAGTTCAGTGATGCTCTCGACCGGAAGGAAGATAGGTACTTGCGCATTTAATGGGAGGAAGTCATCTGTGCGTAGAAGGCTCGTGATGCGGCGTATACACTGGAGGGCCGGAAAACGCAAGATTGCTGGACGAGGCATGTACAATGCGCCGCATTTGTTAGGATTATGAAGAAATTGTATAATCCGCGCCAGATCCACCGAATCAGTTTCTGTTACCTTCGTAAGCGGCAACAGTACATCCCATTTCAGCGCAAGCAACTCCAACACCTGATACCTCCGTCTCCATATTGTCGGGAATAAAACGCCATCGGGTACCACTGTACAAATTCGCAGGACAGAAAGGAGATCTGGGCTTTGAAGGTACTCTGGGTGTGAAACGAATGAATAATCCTGATTAACTTGAGAAGTCTGCGCCACCAGAAATATGAGCCAACATCAGGAAGAGCAAAAAAAAACACACCAGATCCAGAGTGAGTCGCTTGAATGCATGTGCAAGCTTATATAAATTGCCCCATGTTCTAATCAAAGCCAGTGGTGGGGGGCAATATCCCTACAGCAATCAGCAGCAAAAGTTGCGAAGAAATGGAATCTACCTCAAGCCAATTGGCAATGATGGGGTCTTCATCGTCTGCGTAGGAGCTACAAAAGAGCTGGTGCTGAAAATCTACATTCCCAAGAATGGGAAGCAACTTGTCCGAGGGAGAGGCTCTTGGAACACACTCTACAAAACCGAATGTGATTGAGCTGTTAGAACGAATGTCACTTTTTTGGGTCCTCAAATATCAATAGTTGACTCACCGAAAGTCGGGAGGCTCCAATGATCCGGATGAGAGTGCAGAAGCCATGTCGTGCACCGTCGTGTTATGTAGGTCTTCCCCGGAAACACAAAATAAAAACGAGCGCTGCGAGTCGACCAGGAAGTCGCCAAAGGAGGCATGTAACAATTCCACCCGTTTCGGATAACCTATGGTGCGCACAGGGTATACCTGAACCACAGCATGTAAGCCACGTAAAACTGCACGAGACGTCCCGCGTCGCATTCGTAACACAATGTCGATCTGTTCGGGGTCTAAACATCCGGTTTGCCTCACTGCATGCAAGATGCGGAGGAGTATCGACTTATCGGGGATAACCGAAAGTATTTGAGTGTACAAGTCGTCGAGAGGAGTTAAGCTGGCGGGATCCAGGTTGAGCACTGCGGCGAGCTGCTCCGCAGGATGTGAATATTCGTCGTCGATGTAGCGAAGAACTGTGGAGGCGTGGATGAATGTTCCAGACGACATCTCGACGAGCTTTTGGGTCGTCTCTTCGCCAGGCCAGCCGTCTTCTAGCACGGTTCCGCGCGCAGAGTGTGTCTGATAGATTCGCGAGAATTCCTGCGTAAGATATTGCCGAATATCTGCATACGCCGCGTGATCCGGTCGTATCTCGAGACCCCGACAGACGGTTGAATGCTCTGGAGATTCGAAGACCTCGCGAAGATGAGGCTCGGATCGGCTACAGATGAGGATATGGAGGGGTGTATCACCAGAACGCAAGATGCCGATGAGTGCACGTATGAGGGTTGCCTGCGCTCCGCGATCTTCGCATTCATCCAAACCATCGATGACCAGGATTGGTCGAGCCCCCAGCGTGGGTGCGTCTCTGAACGGCTGGACTATGAATTTCTCCAGTTGCTGGCGAATCGCCTTCCCAAGGACCAGTCTGTCCGTCTCGACTGCGCGCTGTATCACGGGGCCAAGTTGGGGGAATGCCACGGTAAGCTGATATGCCAGAGTTGGAATCACGCTCCTCCAGTTACCGCGGCTGGCGCTCCCCCGCTTGAAGAAGAACGAGCCGCCCAGTTGACCACGGTCATGGCAGCTCGCGGCAAACTGTTGTGCGACTGCGGACTTGCCGATGCCAGCGCAGCCGTGGAGCCAAAGTACCGGGTTTTCGCTGAGCTGCTCGGAGGACCATCGATCCAGTTCATCCAAGATAGCACCTCGTGTGCCGGGATGACAGGCAGGATCGGCAGGGCGCTCAGCGGCGTTGTGCATTGCGTCAAGAGAAACGGCGCGAAACAAAATGTCGAGGCCTTATCCGAATCAGCGCGCAGCTTGAGATTCCGGGCACAATGACGTACCGCTCTCCCCGAAGTTTGTCGCATGAGAGAGATTCATGTTTCCTGCGACATTGTACAAGGTGCTATTCTGGAACTGAACCGGCCGATCCCCAGCGAGGGGCATGACTGCCAAGTGATGGAGAGAGGAAAAGAGGCAGCGTGTGTAAATAGCACTCACCATGGCACTGCCTTGTAAGTATTAATATAGCAATGCAAAGACGGCGGGGACAGCGTCACAGAAGTGAGGAGCATTTCCACTGGTGCTATAGCTAGCTTGCCGCGTCACGTAGTGACGTACTGGACGCTCGGTCACGGTGCAGACGACAGTTGGAAGACATGGTAGTTGAAGAGAGCCCGAAAAGATCATGTGATCCGGTGATCGGCGCTTTTCACCACCCTCGGGCCTCACTGGCAGGCCTCAGCCTGAGAGCGCGCTCACAGCTGCTCTATCGAACGTCTCTTCCCTCTCTGATGGCAGCCTACGCGTCTGGTAACGCGCCGCTTTCCCACACAGCCTCGGCCGAAGAGAACAGACCACTTGACAACTTTCCCCAAGGTCAACCGGGGTCTAAGGATTAACCCCTGCCCATCGCAACCAAGATTTCATCCATAGCGGTGCAAGCACCGTTCCCCTACTCTGGTTCCACATTATAGATACATGTCGGATCAGTGGCACACATCAAAGTGAATTGAGTGCATTGATGTAACATACCTGCCGATCCACTGCCGGCGGTTACATCAACAATTTTGTTTGGTCGGAACATTCAACAGGTCAGGAACCCGACAGATGTATGCCATTATCTCGGAACAGTTTGTGGGTCACGGCGCCTACTTAATCACAATGAGGTCAAAATCATGATTTGATGCGCACCCTTGTAGGAGATCACATATTCAGCCCCACAGAACCCTCCTCTTGACAGAGTAGGGGACCAACCATCCATCCAGCATGCCATTTTGCAACAGACCCAATGCCGCAGCGTCTCGTATAACCAGTTCTATCCATCCACAACGGGTAAATAGTGTAGTTGGTTATCGCGCCCGCTTCGCATTTGAATCACGTGACGTGCGGGAGGTGCTGGGTTCAATTCCCAGTTTATCCAGTCCTTTTTCTTCTCCCGCCCTTTCAAATCCCTCTCTTTTCACTCTTTTTCTCACCGATTTGCTACCCTCAAACTCTGGGAAAGGTGGTGTTCCTGAAAATGAGGTGCCGCTCTTTTCAGCATCTAATAATACAATTTTTCGCAGTCGCCTACATTAGCTTTGAGTTCCAGGGACCAGGTTCAAATAGCTTAAGAGCACTGCCCAATGAGGAATTGAATGGCATACTTAGGCTTTGAACCAACATCATGTGACACTGTGAAAACATCGGCGCATGAATTTCATGTCGCCGTGCCATGAACAAGCAGAATCAGGGGCCGTGGGCTGAAATGAACATGTCATGCACCTGGGGTCATTCAGGCATTATTGAGTGATTTTGACTCACTCCGCACCAAGTACAAAATCATGGTCTCTTTGGTGAATTTCAGGAACAGTTCCGCTGAATTTGCGAAGCCGAAATCATGGGAGAAATGCATGAAAATCAACGAGAAAGATGGAAAAGAATATTGATCAAGCTAGGGTGTTCTTCGATCGATCTGTACCCGGTCCGGACATCCCTCGACGACCACGCTGTTCCACGGTGGGATTTTTGAATGGAGACGGACTTGAGCAGGGCGGAAATTCGTTGTGTGGAGCGGCTGCTGCGGATGAGGTCAGTGGTGTCACGTCTGTCACGGCGCTCCACTCCTTCCTCCCAACCGTCACCTCCCTTCTGCCCCCGTCCTCCTCTTCCACTCGTTCGCCACAGAAGCCCCCCATCCACTCAACTACATGCCAATATACACCTCCAGGCCATTCTCACACCCTCACGGCGCTTGTGGGACCTCCCAGCGACCACACGTCTGGCAGCATGCCCAAGCCGCCGTGGCAGTCACAATTAGGTGTAGAACTCGATTCCGACTCACCGCTGAGGCCAAAGGGTATCCGGTGCGTCGCTGATTCCGCTTTATTCACTCTGTTCTGACCCAACACGAACTCGAGAAGTCCTCAAGTCAGCGGCGGTCAGAATTGGAACGCCGGCGGCGGCGACTCTCGCTCCGATCTCCAGTGCGTACCCCATCCATTGCTCTTGATGCTACGAGACCTTCCCGCTCCGCTTCACGCAACTCGAGGTATGTACTGTTGATCTTCTCGGGCCGGACACCTTCTAATCAGGATGAGTCTCAGCCGACAGTGAAGTTATCGACTATAATGATGCGGATGGCGGAGGCGAGAGTGGGCGGGTGCAAGTAGCACATCGTTGTATCACGTACATTTAGTTTGAAATTCACATTCCTTCCATCTGAAATTCGGGGTCCCAGGGAATAGTATTCATTATCATACGGCCTGACTCAAATTGGACTCACTGGCTTCCCAGTCATTTTCATGTCAAGAGGACATGAAAAAGGCACATGAAAACGTCGAAAACGGACATGAATCGAAATTGCGTACTTCACCGAAAGGGAGCCGATTTTAATGCGCGTCGCTTTGATATTCATGCAATCCAGACATGAATTGGGGGGTACCGAGGGACATGATTTTCATGTGCCCCGGGTCTCACAGTGTGAGGATTCACGCGGTTCAAAAAACTGTACAAATTTTGGATTGACACCTAGGCCCGAGGCTGAATGGAATTCGTTCCGACGGCCGGCGCACAAGAACACAGTCTGAACACCGGTCGTAATCAGCGGGATGTGATCCAAATCTTGATTCCATGTTTTGGTTGGCAAGCTCCAACAGTAACAACTTGACCGCCATTGACCAGTGAGGCAATTCTGGGGATGCTGATATCCCTTCAGAGTCAATTACGTGCCCGAGTCGAATTCCAACCAGGTTGATTAAGGCGATTCCCACGGTTCAAATCAATTTATTCACGGACCAGGGAAGTACGGTGTAGCAGGGACTTGTGGCCTCGTCGAGGCAGACATTATCCGTTCTTTAAGATTCTGTCTCCTTTTGTTTGCTCCTTGATTTCTGCGTCCCCATTTGTATGGAGCTCGTTTTATCCTCCTTTTTCAACCTGCCTGGCGGCCAATGGTATCCCCCAAGATCTACTTTCATTTTTCTCATGAGAACCCGAAATTAAACTCAACAGCTTTTGAACAGCATTATAGGCCATCATGATGTACCGCCGGCTCGAGGCGACGTACACCTGCCGGCAGCCAGTGTGATCATGTTCATCTTGAGCTCACAGCAATCTTCCCGAATTCGGTTTGCTTTGCTCCAACGCTCCTCGTGTTACTCAACAGCCTGGTCCATGCGCTACTTACTTCTGGCTTGGCTGCTGTGTGCATAGGTCCGCCGACTCGCCACGTATCCCTCCGACAGATGATTGCCAAATGGTACATATAAGAACACGGATGAAGTTTCACCGATCTCCCATGTTCTCTCCGATGTTGCCCCCGGGCCCACTGCCTCTGGATCTCATCCGAAAGTTGAAACCTCCTACCATGCGGATTCTTGAGGCTTACGACACTTTGCTGGGCCTGCGCTCACCTCAACCTCGTGCTGGAATATCCAGCCTTCAACATCAGCCGTTCTGATGCTCAACAATGTGTCTCGCCCTGTACCAGCGGAACTGGCGCCTGTATCGCTCCCTGAAATCCAGCCCCCGGGATCCCCTCTCATGTAAACCTTCTTCGAGTTACTGTCTGTCTCCAGGACGGGTGGCGTACTTTGTGCATTCTAACATCGCGGGGTGCTTCCAAGGTCTGAATCAATTCGCCGCGGCCTGGGGTTTCTATCTTCACAAATTCGGGCGTCGTTTGTTCAGGTTCAGAACGGGTACTTTCAGTCCGCGGTCATTTTCCCATGATTCCGAGCCATTGAGTGAATAAATACTCCCTTCTGAACTTGGGATCATTCACAAAGTACAAACAGAATTAGAATTCCTGGTCATGTATGGGCAGGGGCCTAGCGCACGCGAGCTCCGGCGGCTGCAGCATCTCAATTTCCAAAGTTGTAGTGTAGTACTATTGATACTAGTGTAAGTATCACAATTGCCGTCCTATTGTCCCTCCACTCACATCGAATTCACCTCGAATCGTTCAGCCAACAGCCAACCTTGAGAGGAGGTACTTACTCCTATTCCGATTTGCCGGAGCGAAGCGGAGGCACACCTTGTTAGATACAGTCTGACGTCTGGTAGATTAGCACGCGCATTAGGCGCCGCCGCGAGGCTAGGACAGATAACACACCTTGTCTCCGAACTTCCTTGCTGCTGCGTCCTTCTCGGCGTCTAGGTCGTACGTTTCCAACGGTACCTCAAAAATCACGCTCGACCAAGTCAGTAAGCAGACTCCCTAGTCTCAACATACTTACTTATAATTACTAGGGCGTAATGATTCGCCAAGGCAACATTTCGGAGCTCAATGCTGACTACATAGTGGAACCTGGATCTAGAACGTTCTGCGAAAACAATGTTTGGGCAATGGGCGGTAGCTTTATCGAAACAATACTGCGGCTGTTCAGAAACGGACAGTGTATCCAGGAATTCCGTTGCTTGCGCGCAGAGAATTCACACGGTTCAATTTACCGCAGGATGTCCAATTCAAATGGGTTTGGTCGCGGCTATTCAGAAACGGATAGTGTAGTCCCGATCAACATTTCCGAGACATCAAGTTGGTTGTTGTCCGTTGTTGGCGTATCACACGGCATCAGCGGGCCTCTGCTTTTGATCTTGACCACCATCATGTCTCCAGCTTTGCTCGTGGCACCGAATCCGACCTTTTCTGGATGAACGGGTCACACACACACCTACTCCGCGTCCCCTTGCTGGTGTCGACTCTTGGTCTTCTGGCGAACTCAGAGAGGTCACTCCAACCTCGACAGGCGCGCTCGCTTCCAAATAAACTGCCCCGGATCGAAAGGATCTAAAAACAGGGCCGACTGGGCAGTGTACTTCACAACACCGCTTCCCTCACGTTCCCTCCCCCGATGTCCCTCTCCCAGCCTCCTCAACGAGACTGCGCCATGTCTCCTCGCATTGGAGGCAATAGCCCAGTGCACATCCAGAGCAGTACGTTTAACAGTATCGCGGGAAACATGAACGTTTCCCACACGATAAACGTCGGCGAAAGCGGTCAGTACTCACTCTTGCCGAGACTTCAATGCTCCTCATCGTTTATTCGTAGGCCTGGACATCTTGCGCCGCGCGTTGTGCGAGGACGCCATGCACGACTCGGCCGTTCGCCCTACCGATCCCTCTTGTCATCCGGGCACACGAAATGCGATATTCGAGCGGCTCGATGAATGGTGTTTTATGCAGCCTACAAACAGCGCAATATGCTGGCTCCATGGCTGCGCTGGAATCGGCAAGTCCGCAATCGCCCAACAATTCGCCGCAAGCTGCCAAGCTCGCGGTCAATTGGGCGGCTCTTTCTTCTGGAAGCGCAGCGATGCAGGCCGTGGGCACTGGAGAAGTTTATTCCCAACTCTCGCTTATCAACTCGCCACTTCATTCCCTGGAATTAGCCCCCTGATACAGCGGGCAGTCGAGACAGACAGACTCGTCGCCAGCAAGTCGATGCGTCACCAACTCGAGAAGCTGATCATCCTGCCATTCAGAGAGGCGCCGAAGCTCAAATCTCGTCCCGTCTGGGTCCTCGACGGATTGGACGAGTGCGAAGACCATGCGATACAGACTATGCTCCTGCGATTACTCATCAATTCTGTACGACACGGACTTCCCATCCACATCCTGATTTGCAGCCGCTCAGAATCACATCTGCGCGAGGTACTCCAGTCTCGGTACCTTACGCGGATCCGGCGATTTCATACAAGGCGGGGGGTCCCATTGGATGATGGCTGGCCTGACGAGGGTACGATTCGGGAGCTGGTCGAAAAGTCGTCTGGAACGTTCATCTACGCGTCCACAATCGTCCGTTATGTTGAATTCACACCCCGCGGACCGCTAGCGACTCATTATCCACAGAAATCGCGCAACACACCACCACATCTCATTGATTCATTGAATCATGGGAGCGACAGGACACTGCTGAAGATAAATGCTATGGTCGTGTTC